TTGTTGAGGCGATCCAATTGGCTTATTCCAGCACGGGTCTGTCCCCCCCGGAGGGGCTTCATGCTCATTCTGCCAGAGGGATGGCAACTTCTTGGGCCCTTTTTAGGGGTGTCTCTATAGACGAGATATGTGCAGCTGCGAGCTGGGCTTCACCTTTGACCTTTGCAAGGTTTTATAGGTTGGATGTCACTGCACCGTCTCTAGCCCACACTGTGTTAAGTGTGGGTCCCCACGAGACCTCCTAAATTGGCAGTTAGTCGTTCAGATGGGCTTATCTGGCAATACGGGAGTCTGCATATCCCCATAGTGAGACACCGAAACGAATGTTTGAAAGAGAACTTGAGGTTACTCTATTCCGTAACCCCTGTTCTCTGATAACATGAGTGAGGTGTCTCACCAGATCACCCTCCTTGCACGAAGCGAGGAAGAGGTGAGCTTATCTTGAATGACGGGTGACGCTGCGTCACACCCTTTTATAGGGAGGAGGGTGCCCCTCCCTGACGCAAGCGTCACGACTGCCAGCCAATACTGGCTGGAGTAATGATATAGAGGCTTCTGAGGACAACGCCGAGAGAGCGTTCCCATAGTGAGACACCTCACTCATGTTATCAGAGAACAGGGGTTACGGAATAGAGTAACCTCAAGATATATGGACCTACAGCGGAGTTTAGACCCAGACACGGCTAGTGACGTCAGACTTAACAACCGGATAGGGAAGCGCTGTATAAGGTTCCCGTTATTGATGTTTGGGTGGTTGACCGGGACGGATTTTCTCCTGTCACTTTCTCCTCATCCCTGACGTGCTCTCCGTTGTTTTTTCCCTGCTAATTTTAGCATCGCACGGCACAGCTTCTGTATCATGTGGTATAAGGCTCCGCCCTTGTCATTTGTTGAGCAGGAAGAGTGAGCGCTTGTTTTCATGCAGATTACGTCCCGGATCAAAATGCGGTACAATCATCGTCGTCTTTTTTTTAAAATTTATTATTATTATTTTTTAATCGTTGTCATTTGGAAATGAGATCGCACATAAGTATGAATCGAGATCGCGATTTTCTAACGATTAATCGTGCAGCCCTATACATGATTGATATTTTACTCTAAACTGTAAAAATTTGTTATTTGTTATTTTCTCAGCAGCGGGACAGAGTCATTCACTACTTTTGATTTTCCCTCCACATTTTACCTTTAAAAACTATTTACTTTGCCTTGTTTGGTATCATCCTTTTCAGCACAACCTCACTTGTCTGAATTTACAGTTATGTTTCCATTTTGACATACTGTATTAACACAATTGATCTAAAATCAGACAAAAAATATAAAATCAGAGTAGAAAAAGTTATATTTTTACTGTAACAACCACAAACAAGTTTAATGAATCATATTTTTAACCATAACTTTAAATGCAAATATGAATTGTCAATTTTAAAATCCTATGCACAAGTTTTGCAAACAACAGTTATTTGTATCCATTTACCTTTTACCTTGATTTTTTTTTTAAATAACCATTTCAGACTATTTACAGAACAATCAGCTGTTCTGCATTCAATAAGATGCCACACAAATTTTTTGTGCCACTCCAAAAAAATAATTTCTATCCACTATAAACGAGAACATGATGGGCTGATACCTGCAGGTCTGACAGCAGCAGGTGTATCACTCTTGTTTCTACCTGGAGACAGCAGCTGCCTCATTGTTCTGACACACAACACAAAACTATCCACAACACTACACACTAACTACACAAGACAACACATTAACTACACAAGACAACACATTAACTACACACTCCAAACACGCTAAACGTCACAAATCTCTCACATCTCAAAACTCGCTCACTCTCTTTTTCTGCTGTCTTTCTCACTCACTCTCTTTCTTTCTCTCTCTCTCTCTCTCTCTCTCTCTCTCTCTCTCCCTCCGTCACTCCTAAAACTTCCCCTGTTTTTTTGCTCATAAGCAGAGAGTGCTTGCTAGTGCAGTCGTTAGACGGTGAACGTCACGAAACTATTCAGGAAAAAACGCCGCATATATTGTTTATCATGACTCTGGTTTTACGTGGCCTATCAACACAATTTAAAAACTGGTATATATCACCTTGTTGCTTTGTCTTTAAGTGGTCATGTGATTGGCTTACCACGACTACTTTATTCTTCCTCAGTCAAACAGCAGCACTCATGCGATTCTTTTGCCCCCTGTGCTCCAGGTGTTGTGCTAGACCAGCAGTGCCCAATCCCGGTCCTCGAGAGCTACCGTCCTGCAGCTTTTAGATGCATCCTTGTTCCCACACACCCGAATCAAATGAATGGCTTGTTATCAGGCCTTTGCCAAACATGATGGCATGCTGAAGAGGTAATCAAACCATTTGATTCAGCTGTGTTGGAGTAGGGATGCATCTAAAAGCTGCAGGATAGTAGCTCTCGAGGACTGGGATTGGGCAGCCCTGTGCTAGACAGTGATCGGGAGCGTGCGCAGCTGCTTAAAGCTGTAGCGTCCAGATTACTTACGTACAGTGTTGGTCAAGTTACTTGAAAAAAGTAATCAGTAATTAGTTACTGATTACTTCCCAAAAAAAGTAATCCCGTTACTTTACTGATTACTTATTTTCAAAAGTAATTAATTACTTAGTTACTTAGTTACTTTTTAAAAACACGATTTACAACCTGAAGAGGTGATAAAGCGATATATCTTTCAGCCCAATTCTACTTTTTCTACATAATCTATCATACAAAATGTAATCAAATGGAAAAGTCTCTTTTTTTAACTTGTTTTATCAGTTTTAATCTTTTAACTTTATGCATCAAGCAAAAATTTAATTATATGCAACATTCTCTGAGTTGAATAAATGAGTTTAACATTTAAACCTATTTTCTGCACATTCCAGCACATAAAATAAAATATTTTTTTTGTTTACACTCACTCTTTCAAATAGATGCAAGTAAAACACAGCAGAACATAAATAAAGTCAAAGACTCAGCGGTCCTGTTGCTCTATTTTCACCTGTAAAGCAGGGCTGCGGTAGGCGGAGGTTTACCCTGGTGCAGGTGTGCCACAGCGGTCAGTGGAAGGATACGGCAGTGTCTCTGTGAGTTTCCCATTATGTCGTTGCGCTCTCGGTGCTTGCTTGGAAGTTTAGGGGTTTTTTTCGCTGTAAAAAGAAGTTTTCTTACAAGTAACCCGTTACTGCCCATCTCTGCTTACGTAGTCAGCTACTTCTGTGCAACTGATATAAGATGCGGTAAGCTAAACACAGCTTCAACCGTTTGTTTGTTGAAAAATAGTAACGGACCGCATTTTTTTGTTAGTGACTGTAACGGCATTGTAACGATAAGAATAGTAATTAGTTAGATTACTCGTTACTGAAAAACGTAACGCCGTTAGTAACGCCGTTACTTGTAACGCCGTTATTCCCATCACTGGTTTTAAGACATGACAGGAATTGACAGGGACAGCCAGTCATTCATGATGAAACACAGCTGAGATTTGAAAAATAGTGACTGTGAGTGGCTGGCACAAAAGTAGATGTACAGTTATCAAGAACATTACCTCTATCCCTGGCATAGATTTGTTTTGGATTTATTCCCAGTAATAAAGTTGAGCACACCAAAATGAATGAAGGTGTGTTCACCATTTTAAAGTAAGTAATAGTGATGGTAAATTTGATTCTTTTTACTGAATCGAGTTTTAATGAGTCACTCACCAAAGTGATTCGGATTTTTTGAGTCATTTGATTCACTGAGTCAGTTGACCAGAGAGTGCAAAAAATTTACATTTTCACTCAAACTTAATTTGTTTCTCTTTTCATGTAAATCCCACTGCTAAGATGAATGATTCTAAAAAAAACAACAACTATTTTATAGAGCAAAAAAGAGCAAAAACATTTCTAAAATTAAGCAATTTCCTATCAAAATTGCTTAATAAACATCTGTTTTTGTTTTTTTATTAGTATTTTCCTTAAATGTGTTAAATATATATTTTCTCATCTAAATGTCCACTGAGCTGTGAGCCAGGGGGCGGTAATGCGCCTTAACATTGGTTGCCAACCAAGAAGAAGAAGCTGTGAGCCAGGAGGGAGGGGGTGAGTGAGTGAGTGATTCGTTCCCTCGCTCTATGATTCAGCACAGGAGGGAGGGGGTGAGCGAGTCCTGAGTGATTCGCTTAAGCTTACGATTCAGCACAGGAGGGAGGGGGTGAGCGAGTCCTGAGTGATTCGCTTAAGCTTACGATTCAGCACGGGAGGGAGGGGGTTAGTGAGTCCTGAGTGATTCGCTTACGATTCAGCACAGGAGGGAGGGGGTGAGCGAGTCCTGAGTGATTTGCTTACGCTTACGATTCAACACAGGAAGGGAGGGGGTGAGTAGCTCAAATGTGCTGTTAGCATGTTAGCAGAGCGATGCTACTGTGAACCGAGGAGCTATTTTCTTGATGTGAGCTTCTACTCAGGGTTTTTTCTTCCAGTTCAGAGCAGAAATGCTTTTGTTAAGAAACTGGCTGTTGTTCCCCCCCGCAATTTTAATTATAAGCTAGATATATTTCTACTAAGCGAATTAGTTTGCTAACAGAAACAGGGATGAGTCAGTGAGTCAGTTGGGCTTGTGCGTCATGATTCACGAGTCAGTAAAGTGATTCTCGAGTTTTGAACGATTCGTTCACGAATCGAACATCACTAGTAAGTAATTTGTTACTTCGTTACATTTGTTAATACTGGGAGAATAAGAAAATAGATAGGCTAGTGGATATTTTCCCGAAAATCTTTAATTTACTACTTTAACCAGGATGGTGGTGTGGTGGTTCTGTGGTACACAGGACCACCACACACCATTGTTAAGGCTACACAGCAGGTACAGCTGACCACACAATATACCTCTGACCACAGTGGCCAAAGGGTGTGAGAGTAAGGCAGGAAAATACTGCTTTTCAGCCTCGTGTTGTCCTACTCTTTAATATCTGTAGCTGTAATTAGTACACTTACAATATCCCTTTTGTCATTCCTCTTTTTATTTTAGATGCAGGGCACAGTGGGTCAGCGCAGCAGGACTACTGTGGCCTACATTGTTCCAGTAGTTGGAATATGTGCTGCTGCTTTCCTTCTTACCAATATCTTCATTTACCTCTATCTGGACTCTGTGTATCAGCCTGGTTTGCAGCAAGTTTCACCTCTGGTGGGCTGTGTGCCTCAACACTTTAAAATGCCAACCATGAAAGACTGCACCGCCTGGCTCCAGTGTTTACAAATAAATGCTGAAGTACACGAGCTGAAGCTGATTGACCAGGGAGCAGTGAAGAAGGTAGACAGATTTTTATATATATGTATATGTGTGTGTGTGTATTGGCTAAGTTTGTATGTGTATCAAATAAATGTAATGTCAAGAGATTCCATGTTAATTTCCCATTGTAACTTTAGCAACTTATCATAGTTGTGACACTGGACAACATGTCACAACAAAATACAAAGTACGCTGATGTTATACAGATCCCACATTGTTTAATGTTCAAAAAAGAAAGTTTTAGGGCAAATTGCTTGTAACTTAATTGTAACATTCACATTCGTTGCCATGAAAAAAAAATCTCTCTTGAGCTCTTGAGAGTGCCTCTTGATGAGGTGCAGAGGTGGACGATGAACTCAACCTGGATGTCTATTGTCTCATGTAGTCTTTTACTGAATTCACTAAATGCCAGAGTGGGTGTAATTTACCTCTGCAGTGGAGTCGGGGGGGTCGCCCCATGCTCTGTGGTGGTGCTACTGCTGTGGGCCCGTGTCTGAGTCGCCTGGGCCCCCTGCTTTTGATGGCTTCTGGGGAATGAGGGTGACTATGGGGGTCAACAGGGGAGCTGATATTTGATTTTATTGTATTTAAATTAAATAAAATTGATGATAATAATAATAAGATTGAATGAAATATGACATTCAAGTGGACCAGTATAGCAAAAGCCGTAATGGTCTACTTGGTAAAATAAATCTGTTGGGCATTTTTCTTGGCCTTTAGACAATAACTCTGATTCTAATTGCTACAGTGTCAGACGGGACATACAAAAAGAAGAAGAAAAAAAAGCATAAATAAAGCTAAAATAATTGATTATGTCATAAAGTAATACATGGCAGGTTTGTACAGTTAAAAATACAGATTTTGTTAAAAATATTAATTTTTATCATTGGCAACAGTCAGTAGACCTTGTGAATCTCATCTATTTTGTTTTCTTTCCTCAGGTTTATTTGGCAGAGTGGAGAGGCCAGAAGGTAGCTCTGTCAAGGCTATCATCTCTCAATTACTTGGAGGATTTTCTCCATGGATTGTCAATGTTACAGGCCCTGCAGAGCCCCCAGGTGGTTCAATTGGTGGGGTTTTGCCTTGAAGAGCACATCATTTTGACAGAACACCACCCGTTTGGCTCATTGCTTAATCTGGATGATGTTCTTGAAAAAAAGCATTACCAGCAACACAACAATTGGGAGATGCGGCTGAGGCTAGCTATAGATTACGTCACCATCCTCCATTACCTTCATAACAGCCCAGTTGGGCGACGAGTTATGTGCGATTCAAACAGCCTTGAGAAAACTCTGTCCCAATTTCTACTGACAAATGACTTTCATCTAGTAGTGAATGACCTTGATGCACTTCCTGAAGTGGATATGTCCAGAAACTTGTCAGTGAAATGTGGCCATCGGGAGCTCACTGGAGATTTTGTTGCCCCAGAGCAGCTATGGCCATTCAGAAACAATAGAAAGCCATTTTCAGACAATCTCATGCCAGAGTATGATGAGAAGACCGATATTTGGAAGATCCCAGATGTGACGTGGTTCCTTATGGGAAAGGTACCTGGTGGGGATTTAGTCCATTTCCATCTTTTTCAGATCCATGAGAAGTGCAAGAAGAAGGATCCCACCGACCGCCCTTCAGCTTTTGATGTTTTGAAGGTTTACAAATCAGTCTACAGCAGCATGGTACGAGACAGTGCTGGGTTTAGAGATATGCTGTAGAGCAGCAGTCCCAAACCCCTGCCACATTGATCAACATCCAATGATCAAAGACCCGGACCAATGACTTTACCTTTTTCACATAAATAGCCTCCTTGACTCCACACTCAAACCAGTGTGTCTCACTATCCAGGATGTGTAAGTGCTATGTCCAGATGAACAGATAAGATGTGGTCCCAAATGGAGCTATTTTATTTCATTTTAGTTATTTACATATACTAATGGCAAGGATCCAGTTTGATTATAAATAGATTTATTAGAGGTTGAATTAGTCTGCTACAGTGGATCATAATGGCTTGTCAGTGGCTTTATCAGTGAACAAGACATTGTTTTAATTTTTTTTTATGCTTCTTACCCTGAAAACAATCTAATAAGTAGCCTTTTTTTTTTTTACAGAGAAAAGAGCAGTTAATTATACAGAACAACCAACAATCTGCAGCCTACCTGGGTCTCACTTGCTGTTCGTTTAAATTAGCAGTTTAGAATGTTTAGAATAAATGGTAGATCACAAAAAGTTAGGATAAACCTGCTCTTTACATTTCCCATTGTTTAGATATTTTTCCCCTTTGGTTGATATTTTAAATCCCATATGGACCAAGGTTTGTTACCTGGTTCTAAAAACGAATAGAAAATAGAAAATGCAATGTTTGATTTCTCGTGATTTGAACTGTTCTGTTTTCTTATTCCACCTTATGGCTGGAATAGTATAATGTTCAGACATTATTTATTTATTTGTAACCGCATCAAAGACATATACATTAAATATTGAAATTCAACCTCATGGTTACTTCTCCGTTTAGGTGACATAGTACACTTTTGATTGATCAGGTCTGTGAATATGTAACCATTTATGACTATTACTATAAGAAATGGACATTAATCAAATTTAAAAAGCCACTTTTTGTTTTTTGAGTCTTATTTGTTTTGGGATATGGATGCTGGGCTTTGGGGTAGACATTTTCTTTATATGTAGGGAGTAATACTGACTAGTTGGCTTCGATAGAGGTGTGCTTGCCGTTGACAAAGACCCATCTGACTCAGCATCATCAGGATATCTCTGTGAAATGCCTTTGTCAAGATAGCATAAAAAAATGGGTTGGTGCAAGAGTTGAGAGGATAGAAAAGAACCAGCAGCACCTGTTGAGAAAAAGACATAACCCTTATTATAAATGAGGGAGGGGGGGGGGGGGGGGGGGTGCATTAAATATTACAAGTATGTAAAGTTATACCTTGGAATCTGTGACAGTTATCATCGGGTGGTGGAAAGCTGCAGACAGGCCGTAGAAACAAATGGGAGCCAGACATAAAAAGTTGGTGAAAATAATAACAGCCATACGTTTGGCCATGCTCGCGTCGTATCTGCTGGAGTTATGATTGGGATTGTGTACCATAAAATAGATGTGGATGTAACATAAGCATACTACCATAAAAGCAGTGACATTAACAATCAAGACAGAAATAATGTATGTCCGTGCAGCAGTTGTCCCAGTGTCTATAGGTAAGCAGATGCTTACTTTCTGGTAACTGCTCACACCAACTACTGGCAGCAGTGCAAGAAACGCACACAACAACCAGCCAACAAGCATTAGCACAGATGCATGACGCAACCTCATTTTTCTGTCTGGCCTGATAGCTGAGAAGATGGCATTCCAGCGCTGAAGACTGATTAGAGTTAATGTGAACACAGACAACTCACTGGCAAACACAGATAATATTCCTACTATATTGCAGCCACTTCCTGTTTGCCAGGTAATCGCATAGTGATGATAATTGGAGCGTGTGTAGAAATCCACAAATGCAATGACCAGCAAGTAGAACCCCATACAGCAATCTGCAAATGCCAGGTGACCTATAAGAAAACGGGTAACAGACATTTTCTGTCGACTGGTCAACAGGATGAAGAGCACCAATAGGTTTGCTGAAATGGCAAATAAACTGACGACCCAGACCAATATCCTGAGGATGTCTTTACTCATCACATCTTCACAGGGGTTCAAAGCATCAGGCAGGGGGGTGCATGAGGGTCCATCATCTGCGTCAAGTTCATTACACAGCGAAAAGTCAAAAACTTCACTGAGATGCTCTGAATATGTTTTTACATAGAACAAAGTATCATCCTGAGACTTCTTGGTTGGGCAAATCAGTCTTTTGGGATTGCTATTTGCACTGCCATGAGTTGGAATACCAAACTTTTTAGATTTCAGATGTTGTGAGATGTTGTACTCCAGATACCTCTGAGAGAGCATTGCAGAAGACAGCTGCAGCTTTCCTGAAGTAGCCCATGTCAGGTTGCAGATAACTGCCTCAGAGTGTCTTGCACAGAAATGAAAAGAGTTATTTTTCAGGGAATGAATTACAAGCATATTTTCAAATACAAATTTTGTGACGAAAGTGGGTTGTTGTTTAACCACATTTAAATTGTAAATAAAAACAATGCAATAATCTTCAAATCATTTAAAGCCTATTTTTAATTAAAAATGCAAAGGCAAGTGACCATATGTGCTTTTTTTTGTTACTATTAAAACAGTTAGGACATAGTCTATGTTTACCACTGAGTTTCATTATCTCTTCTTTTAAGAACACTGTAAATGAAAGTCTTTTTACATTAACTATTCCTGTGATTTTTGTCATATTTTTCTATTTCATAAAATAGCTTTTGAATTGTTAAGAGGTTTGGAACACAGGCAGGTCAAGTTAGCACCTACATGCTTTACTCTGGACTGTTGTTATACATTCAGAATTTGGTTTGGCTATCATTCAAATAAACATGTGTTTCTCCAAAGCCACACTCAACATTAATGGAGATGTACAAGATATGTACATTAATGAACCCCATAGATGTTGACTTTTAAACTGTGCCCTAATAACATGTCCCTCTCCTCTTAAGCCAGAGGATGTGATGTCCGTGATTTCTTTTGAGTTTCTGATGTGGAAGTCATGCAATGAATTTGAAATAAAGCCTGATTTTTGTCATTATGCAACTTTTCCAATTTTTTTTCTAACTCACTTTAATTTAAACTTGCTGTTGTATTACATTTAAAGTTATAATTAGTGTATCAATATGAACATTTATTATGTTGTCTTTGCACTATTTTAAATAGAATGTAAATTTGCAAATAATATTTTTTTTCCTTTTTTGGAAATGTGTTTATTACACCATGAATTACTACATGTGATGCAAAGTGTAAAAAGTAAAAACCCATAATGGTTTTCACTTGTCACTTTGTGATGTCAGAGTGTTGGATCTTGTCTGAGATACAGACAGTACTCGACAATAGTTTCCACCTAAAGACTAAAATAGTCTTAAAAAGTATAACATAATATGTAGTATTATAACCACATTGTGATAGCAATCGCAACAGTCAAAAAACAGCAATTAATCACAACAATATATAAACAACACACATTGCAAGTTGTTATGACCTTATGTAGGGTTTGATGTTACAATTAGCTCACTTTTTTGTTTCTGTAAATTTATAGCAGTCATTGAGCAGGTTATATAGGACAGCATAGTGAATGTTAAGTCAGTATAAATTCTGTGTAATGTTTGGCTAAAGATGGAAACAGACAAAACAAAAGCTGCAATCTACAGTGCATCTTTTTTCAACTGTCAAATGTTTAAATGCTAAATTATTGCCATGTTCTAAGTAACTATTTTTTCATACACTAAAATTTTTAGCTAGTAGCTAGTTACAGCTTTTGAGAATAACCAAGGCCTAATACTATGGACATTACAACAGAAAGGAGAAAGAAGTACACAAGTAAAAGAAAAACAGGGAATATTTTCCCAAGACTTACCCTTGCCCTCTTTTCAGCATTTTAAGACCACAGCAATGGCTTGGGAAGGTCAATTCAGCGCTTTGTAAGTGAACAAAAGCTCTTAAGGGGGGCAGCATTTTTAAGGCCCATGTGTTTTTAGCTTGGAGCTTTTCAATGTTCTTCATACCTTTTGATGGTAAAGAGTGTACTTTGGTATCTGAAAGATCTCTGGATTGACAGACAAATAGTTAAGAATTAATTCATTGGGCTACAGAGCTCTCTCTCTCTCTCTCTGTCTTTCTCTGTCTTTATATAAAGGAAGGGTGGGAGAGAGAATAAAAGAGCGAGAGAGAGAGAGAGAGAGAGATTTTTGTCAAGAACACTTTGTCTTTTGTGAATTCTGTACTCACAGGTGAGTTGGGCCTTGAATCACACCATAAAATGCAAATTCCTCTATTTGTTCTAAATCCAAATTCCTATCAAGATACCTGAATATTTGGGAAAAGATGGGGAACAAAATGACATGATAAAAACTATTTAGTTTTACCAAACCTTCAGTTTTAAAATGTATTTTTTTCTGAAAAGTGTGTTTAGTAAAATGAAACTGACAAGAATAACAAAGAAATGAACTGTTGTACAATGTTTCATGTCCATTTTGAATTAAACAACAAAAAAAAAAAGATTGAAAACCATAATCAATGACATTAGAACATTTTAAAGTATCTGAAACAGTATACCTACAACTACCAAAGGGGCCAACATTATTTGACCCTGCCCAGAAATTTTAGTCATTAAAATTGCTTGTTCACTTGAGGCTATAATCTACCTATGACTTATCCCATCTATCAAGCACGTTAGTAAATTTCAGACACAAACTATATAGACAAGAAATAAATAAATACAAGATGTGAATTGAATCTTGTGTCCTATCAGTTTAGTGAATAAATCAAAAGTTCATACACTTCCTCCAGTTTGGTTCCATTGAAAGCATAGTCCTGGATCTCTTTCACACCATTGCTATTCAGCACACTAAAAAAGGGGAAGAAAACCCTGTAAATCTTAAATCTTCATAATTAAATTTGTTGTTAAACGTTAGTTCCATCTCTATGTTTCACACTGACATGTATGCCATTGGAAACGACATTAAATACATTCTGTTGTCATAATCTGCAGGGTATGCATATTGGAAAACGATTTTAAATCAAGCCATCAAGATATGACTGATGTGCAAACCTGCATCTTTAACATAAGGCGTATAACCAAAAGTATTGTAGTTGGTAGAGTTCTCAAATATACTGGGCTACAATCTCTGGTCAGGTGTGGTAACTCCTCCAGTCTGCATCTTTGGGCAAGATACTGAACCCCCAGTTGTCCTTGAAACATTCAGCTGAGTGGGAGTGTGTGCCGCTGTTTGACAAAACACTTAGTCATAGAAATCATAGAAAACAATTGCTGTATGTTTGTCTGTTTGATTGGATGAAAAAAAGCTTAGAGTAAAAAGTGTTCCAATTACTCATTTACTCATGAAGTACCAGTCTATTTACAGTTGCTGTGACAAACAGTCCCCAGCCCTCAGTTTGAAGCGTGGGTCTGCAAAACCAAAGGGGAGGGAAAAGTCAGGAGTGTGAAGCAGGGGTTCCTCACAGAGAGCCTTCTTCACCTGTACAAATGCCACCTGGCACTGCTCCGTCCACTGGAAGGAGATCCTTCAAGGGGCTGGTCAGATCCACAAAGTTCAGGATAAACAAGTGGCAATAACCAGCCAGCCCCAAGAACTGCCCTTTTTGTTGGTCATGGGAGGCAGGCAGGATGCGATGGGTGCTGTCTTATCCATCTGAGGAACTGTTTCAAAATGGTGCCCTATGAGCGAGCTGCTACTGGGGAGAACAAATCTGCAAAACACTGTTGCAATGCAGTAATATCCACTCTCTTGGCCTCTGTGAGGTGGTCATCACAATGGAGGGAGGTGGGAATGGTTGAATTTAGCACCTCCAGCCCCAACTCATCTCTTTCCATC